AGAGTGCTTACTGCTTGAAGTCGCTAGATTATATATAGTGTGATCCCTTCTTAATCAAGTTGTAAATACATGTATACTCTCTCAGAATCATGCATTTAGATCGCAATGTACTTATTTTGACAACTTGGTGTCCCCAATCTCCGAGACGTTTCATTTTTCCACATGCAATTGTCTACAAATGCACTACAAAAGCAGAGCAACGATCCTCTTACTGGCTGACATTTTAATGTACAGGTCCGCTCGAAATAACTTCCACCACTTTATTATTTTTAGTCCTGCTTGAATCTTGGCCAGACTCACTTCAGTCTACACCTGGCCTAGATCATCGTGAACTGTCGAATAAGAAAAGGGCTATGATCAAGCCGGCCTTCGACTAACTACATTAGGACTGGCGTCAGTAAAAATAGTGTTCGAGAAACAATCAAAGAGAACGAGATAGTGAATCTGATTTCGATCCGCCCTGTATACCAATCGATAGAATGCCTAGCAGAGTAAGCTCCTACATAGAGAGTCCATTTTGACGGGCTAACCCATCGTGCACTGTAAACATATTTTCTTACTCATTTTCTTGCAAGAGGGTTTCATATATTTAACGATACAGTGGATTTCAGAAACAGATTACCCCAAAGACAAATGATTTCTATTTCGGCGACCCAGTAGAGAGGGCCAAGTCCAGATCGTCCAGTTTCAGATCCCGCCTGCAGCCAATCAAACCAACGCACTCCGCAACAAGGGCCCTTTTTCTCGCCAAATCAAGCTTAGCGCATTCAGAGTGGGGCACTGGGAAAGAAAGCGTCTATGTCTGGGGGGTAGTCTGTTTTCGAAATCCACTGTACATAAACGAAACTAGAAATTGCGACATGCCACACTCTGGGTCTTCATGTTTGCCCTGTACTTGTCTGACCTAACAACGTCTATGGGGCTTGGGACGAAGTCGTCGCATCCAATCCATTCGAGTTGTCTCTCGCTCAGAGACCACTCGCCTCTGGTGTGGGCTTTCTTTGGCACCCTTTCTTTGGGATTTGCCGGGCCATCCTGCTAGGAGCGTAACATGCGAGCCATGAGATCGATGATTAATCCTCATTCGAAGAATTTTCTTGGCTCGCCGCGAAGGTGGGCTTGGTGAGTCAGTGCGAATGTTACGACTGGCATGGCGAGTGATCATCTTCGACGGTGGAAGCTTTGAGGAGTCACACAGTAATGGCGTCAGGTCGTAGTCGCTGGCTAGTCTTTGGCGGCGGAGCTGGCGAGCTGTTGGAGTCATTGCCACTTTAACAGACAGGTGGCACGAAAAACACGGTGTCAACCCGACCCTGCCCATTATATATATTCCAAATGTCTTGCTGGATCTTTGGGAACGTTGTTAGCGAGCCCGACAGTCTCCCCAGTGGCATCAGTTTTCGCCTCCATTAAGTCATTATGGGTTCCGCCGGCACTTTGGAAGGCAGAAATCGTTGGCAGCGTGAAGAGGACCCCCAACCAAATTGATTCCGGCGTTTGCCTACCAAGTTTTGATAATTGATGGCGTATTTGAGCAGAAAATGAGGTCTAATTTTTTGCATGTTGTTCACGACTCCAGCAACCAAATCTCAACTAATCCAAGGTTCATCTGAAACTTTATTTCATCCAATATTAATGGATACTTCAAAGGTGGGGGCCCCCACCCACGGATACCACTTTCGACCTGAGAAAGAACGAATCATCGATCCTACATTGAGCCGGTCTTTGGCGCAAGGGTCAGTTTTTAATCATATTTTAATACCCGCGTAACCTTTCCCTTGATATTTTTTGGGTGCTAAAGGTACCCTACGATCCTAAACGTAGCAACGAGAAGCGCTTCAAACTGAATCAACAATGTCGAGAAGCCCTAGCGGCCAATATATGTATTTGTGGTCCTCTTCTGACAATATCCTCAGCTAATACTCCTAGATGACCGACTTCGCATCGTAGTCGCTCCTGAAAAAGTCCGTCTTCAACCGCGACCTGAAGATGGATACGCTTGGTCCGTCACGAGTGCAAATGCTGCTTTGCTCAAATCTAGCTTGAGTAGTGGCAATATACGTCTTTACCGGTCAATTTGCAATGAGATCGGTCATTCATTCGAGGCTATTTCCCCACAAACCTTGGGAACCTCGCAGTCAAATACGGACGGTATTCCAAAGGAGGTGAGCATTGCTAGACATCCTTATTGATATTGCATTGCTGACGGAGCCTGGAGGCGGAGAGTTTCGGTGAAGGAATGGATGGTTCTTTCACGGCAGAGATTTCCAAGCTTAAGGCTACCAACAGCCGCATAGAAGAGGAATTAGGACGCACTCGTTCTCGACTGGATGACTGTCTTCGCGAAAGTCACACGCTCCGGGCTGAGACCAATGGTCTTCGCCACAATCTTCAAATTCTTGAGTCGCAAAACAAGAACCTGCATGATGAGCTAGTGCAAAGAGAGTGGGTATCGCTGGAGCAATACAGACATTGAGTTCGTTGCAAACAGAAGGAATTGAGATTATACTTGACACTCATGGCAGTCAATCATCAGCCATTAGTATGCACTCGGTAGCGAGCGAGGCCTGAGATTCAGTGGACAGACGCGACGGATCACCGATATGCGCTGAGAGCCCACCGAATATTCTATTTGTCGTGCATTGCATATCGTGCATACCTGCGGTGATACGCGCTACATTTTGACAACAAGGCTCATCGAGATTCAAGCCGTCGCCGATGTTTTAGCAAATAAAATATATCAATAACTTTTGTAGGAAGGCCACCAGCGAACGAGTAATAGCAGTCTCGAGCCGGGTGTTTGGCAGACACGATTTCCAAATGATATATGCTGAGGCCAATGTCGTATGTGTAGCTTATGAGGATGGTTGTAACATGCATGGTTGGTTTCCGTGGAACTCACTTATGATTGCTATGTTGTATCTGGAATTTTCAGTCAATGAGATGTTAGGTCCATTGAGGGCAGAAATGATAGTCAACTTCGTCCAATCAACGACATACAGGACCTGTCAATTTCTAGTTGCGACACGGCGCTTTCTCCTAGAAAAGCTGAGTGAAAGATTACCGATCATCGTTCGATACTCTGCTAACTCGGTCCAGACATACTCACATTCTATTAGCTGCGTCAGCTCGTAGGCACACGCCTGGCCGTCCATCAAACATGGAAAGTGGCCTAATGATTTCCCTGTCTCGTGACACGTCGTCAGTTCCCATCGCAGTATCAAGTTGATTTCAGGTTTCTGCTAAACCTATCGTTTGGTGGTAGCATTGGGTATTCTTGCCCCTTAGTCGTGTCTGTCATGGTGGGACACTTCACGAATACCTTACTAGCAAGGAACGCCTTCATAGTTGCGCTAGTATCGAGGAAGCAATGGTCGATGATACTTGTCAATCGAAACTCATATGTAAATACAAGTAACGGCTTGTTGAAAATCCATATATATTTGCGGACGTGAGTTTTAGGACCGTGAGAACGCCGCAGTTTCTTAGGTCAACCTACGGAGCGTCGTGGAAGCTGGCGACACTCACAAAATAATAATTTTTGATAGATAATACTGAGCCCTAGAGCATCTGGGTGGTATCTCGGGCCGATTGAAATTTTATCATGAGATAGCGTTGTCTGCAACAACGTACATCTTTATGCGGACTTGTTGATCGCATACTCCAGGATAAAGCGGCAGGTATTTTGTGCGTCGCGCTTACGCACAGTACTCAATATTTGATTTATGATCCTGATTTCGCACAGCTGTTGGACAGGAGTGAGAGAGCTTTTATTCATTTTCAAGTCTTGCGCCTGGGCCTCCACCTATATAATATCAACTTCTCGATCGTCACTGCCGATAGTTCTTTCAACCCTTCTACATCCCATTGGATAATTTCTCATTCTACGATCGAACAGACCGAGCATGGCAAAGAATCACAAGCCTTCTGGGAAGCAGGCAGGCCACGGGTCTGACGAAGTACAGCTGCATGCTGCACCGTCGTGTTATTCGGCTCGGTCTACTGCCTCCAGATCCAAAGATGACCGGAACCCTCTCAAACCGGTGACTAGGTCGCAAAAGCATACGGTACCCAATCTTTACCTTCTTCCCATATGTCCTGACTCCTTCGTGATCAACACTGTGCTGGCGGCGTAGCTTGATGTACTCTACTGACTATGCTAGGCATCCTCCGTCACGAGAAAGCCCAGGCCGAAACATGATAAAGCGACCCATGAGAAGTGTCTCCAGATGATGAGCAACATTGAGGAAGACATTCAAAAAGCACAAGAGGAAAGGGACGAGGAGAGACGCAAGCATTGTCAGTTGCTGGAACAACTTGAAGCCGAGAAAGCCGAAGAAAATTCGAAATTGCAGCTGGCTATCACAGCACAAGATGCAGCATTAGCCGAGAGTCAGCGGGTCGGGCGAGAGATCTGCGAGTTGCAGCAGCAGCTGGAGTCCAAAAATGCCGCCTGTGTGTTCCGGACTGCGCAGCTCACCCAGGAAATACGTTAGACTTAATACCATCTAAGAACTATCTTCGTCGTATGAAGCACAAATGGCTGGTTCTGGTTTGTCGATATCACCATCGGTCGCTCGTCGAGACAATACACCATCACCTTCGACGCGTGAATATTCCCACAACATGGCGCTCCCTTGGGCATAGCTTGAGATGGTTCAGGATATGATCATGTTTGGCTGGGTAATTGCCCTAGATATCACAGAAGTTATGTACTCTGTTCTAGCCAACACTTGGGCACGTATGCACGCGGGTCTTGGCGTTGGAAAACTTGAAATGACTCCAGGGCGTCAGGCTCTTCCATGTAACTAGATAGGTCCATTCTCTCTCTCCTCGTCTACCCCTCTGCCCTAAATTTCTCCCAATTTCATACCCTCTCCTATTACTTCCGGCTTCCACTCGCACAATTCGACAGAATTCGATACGGCTTTTCATAGTGTATCGTGTGTCTCGACTGAGTCGTATCTACACTTATTCGAACTCAAAAAGATCGAATCGCAATGACTACCGTCGGATTCATATGTGCTAACTGGGGCCTCGAGCAGACGGCTTGCAAGAAGGAAGGTAGATACACTTGCAAAAATTGTTTTCTCGTTATCGTCAGTTTCCCCTTGAACAGCCGAGTTGTTTATATAAGGGGGTTTCTTATTAAATATGCTTACAGTACTGCAGTCCAACATGCCAAAAGTCCCATTGGTCTCAACATAAGATTGAGTGTCAGTCGCCCCTGGGTAAGGAAATCTGGCAGCCCGCCTGGGTTCTCGAACACAGAACTCCTGCATTTATTGGGACCGGCATTGGGGAGACGTTTGGGGTAAAGAAGTACCTCTGGGGTAACATCCCTGCGTTTGACGTCCTTAAACTGGGATCAAATGAAGGAGAGAGATATGCTGGAGATCTTCGTCTCTTGTTTGCAGGTATGTCTTAATGGCTGTTCAGTCTGGTGGCTTATTCAGGGCTAACACACGTTTACCAATAGCTTCAGGAGACCTTCGCAATGTTATCAAGACGGTCGCCCACCTTCCAAACAGCTATAACCACTTTCTCAAAATCACGATCAATGACAGGGATTTTGACGTCGTGGCCCGCAATCTGATTTTGCTTCTTGTTGCACTGGTTGTCGAGACGTCCGATGAGGCTGTCGATTGCATCATTCACCTATGGTACTCGGCTCTCGTGCGTGAATCCGATATTGACATTCTTTACAATCGTATTCGGCCTTTGATCGAAGATGTCTGTGAAAAGATCAAAAGAAAGTCATCTGGAAGTCTCCTTGGGAAGACCTGGACATTTGGACATCGCTCGCTAAGAATCGTTCTGGAACAATCATCGTGGAATCGCCTTTTATCATTTTGTAACAAGCCGGCCAGCCTAACTGCCAAGCAAGCACATAGCATTCGCGCAACCAACACTCTAGCTCATTCAAGGAGGGACTATCGCGACCGATACATGTCCTGCCTTTCGCCGTTCCAGCGGATCTCTTTCGACAAGTTCCGCCAGGACGGCCTCTTGCTTCCGTTCGGATCCCCACGCCATGACTTTACGGAGCCAAACCCGTGCGTCAGCGGAACAATTAATGTTTTAGAAGGGATGCTAACACAGAGTAGGACATTTTTCCAGACCACTGACAGTTGGCCGATGAAAGACAACGCAGACCCTCTTCATGGGTGGTCTTTAGAAGATGTTTTAAGTACAACAAGCGGAGCTGCAACTGCTGACATCTACGGCAAGCTGTTTTACTACCTTCGCGGAATGTTTCAGTATTTTTTGAATCGAATATTGGATTTAAACATATCCTTTCAACTTCTCCATCTTGACGCTTCTTGCCTTTCGGATCATTTCGAAAACGATTATTTTAGCCGAATCGATGTAAGTGACTCACACTTTACCAACGTCACTTCTTAGTGTTTTACAAAGATTGGGCCTCTGCAAACGAAAAGAAACCACATCCCATTCCATCCCAGAGATATCAGTCCTAAGTTTAACTTAGATCAGGACACTCATAGCCCTACGTAGGTGTCAAACATCTCGGATATGGCCTGGCTGGGAATACATCGCACACTACATTTGATGGTTCCCTTGCTGCAGAATCCTGTGCAAAACCCACATGCCACCATTATTACCCTCTTTATGAACGCTGTCGAAGAGACTTTGACAGATAAGGATAGAATGCGGGGTCTAACTTTAGAAAGCCAAGCGACGAAGAGTCTACTCAAATATCTCCCCCGAAATGGAAGAGCAAGTTCCAAATACGATCCTATGATTGTCAAATTTACAGTTGGTCGGGAACTTGTTACAACTTATGACCACATCTTTAACAGGTAAATAGAATATTGATGGAGCAGTCCGTGGGGATTAGTCAAGACCTTATGTTAATGCTGATAATAGGTACTTGAATGACTTTGAGTTCCATGAGGCTGGTGAAATTTTCGGTGTGATGATGAAAGAAAAACATACCGTCATCGAGAAATGGCCTTATAGGTTAAAACTCCGGCCCGGTCAGCCAGGAGCTCAAGATGAGTTTGACCGGTGCATGAGGAAAGGTGTTTCAGGGAAAGAGCGATATGTAGAGTGGAAAAGAATCCATCAGGGCATGTCTTGAAGAAATGATCTACTTGGTTTGGTTGCAGCAGTTGTGAAAGCCTTACCAACCGGCCATCGAGTTCAGTAAACCAAGACCTGAATTGAAGTACCATCGCAGTTCCGACCTAACATCCTTCAACGGACTTAGGCACGCGATATCCGAATGAAAATTTTGAAGAAATCATCACAGGAATATATGCTGAAATGTCAAATATGCAGCATAAAATTACGAGGCAACTGTTATGCTACAGTACAAAAATACGACAACATGTCATGGGCCCATGCAATAGAGAAAGCGCTTTTTCGAACGGGCACTGGAATCATCTCGGGAACGACTGACTAGCGTTTTCGATGACTGGAACCACCCCTGTAGACTCGATCTGGCAGGGTTACCGGAAGTTGCAAGAGGAGGGTATCAGTTTTTCTATTTAGGGTTGCCCTGTCTTATTTTGTCCATACAGAAATAATACAGTAATTATCATTGTTACTAGTAGTACATTATAGTACAGTACATCAATTGATCTCTGTCAGCATCCGAAGTGGGAATTTACCACTTACAGATTATATTACCAAGTAACCGTATAGTAACCCAATCATTCAGTAGTCTCGAGGCAGGCAGCAACTCCTGAGATCTGCGAAATGCGGGGGTATTTCAACCTGCCCTCGACTGCATGTCTATTTTTTGATTGATAGATTTTTCCATGGTGAATTGGTTCCACATGGCCTCATTCGCTATCAATGGATACAAGTCTACCCCCAGAACTAATTCCGACCAGTTTACATAGAATAAATCTATTATTAGAAGATAACTCGCGTGGTCGATACTATTAAAAAATACAAACGACAGAAACAAGCGGCAGATAATCAACATAACCCCCTCGCACCATACCTGCATATCCAAAGAAGTTTATGAGCGCTTCTTTATAAAATATCAATCAGACCAAGAAAATGCAGTGAACCATTTGATTTTTCTTTTGGCCCGCCTGAGCTGGTTAGCACAAAATCAAACGAACGTTTCAAGAATATACCCACCTCGAAATTAACAACAAGGTCTTGTCTCGATTTGATCCAATGAAGTTCAACTTCGTCATAAGAGTGCTGAGGCTCGCCGTGCCAAGTATGGCTTCAACCTTTGTCATCTTTTACTTCGAAGGCAGTTATTTGCCCGGAATGTGTCTGAGCAAAGCGCCAACCTCGTAGCGTTTAAATTTTTAGATTTATCAAGCACACACGAGGGAATTCGACTAGACAGCAGCCGATGGTCTTTCCATCACACGCTAAGCCAACCAAGCGATATAGTCATCATTTTAGTTTGTATCTCTTCTATTTCTCTCCACCTAGCAGAGCCCGTTGCCTAGTTAAGGACTGTGGATTAGGGTTAGAGATGGCGGTACTCTGAGTCGGGCAAAAGTTAAAAATCAGCAAGACAAAATAAATAAAAAACAGTGAAAGAAAACACGGCTAATCACGAGTTGATGGTCCAGGAATCCATGATCATCGCACTCGCATGCAGCCACTGGGCTTCAGTGCCTATGACCATGTCTGCAGACGTGGCCGAGGGCATCCACATAGACTCCGTCGTCCCTAAAGAAGGAGATACTTCGGCTAGTGGCCCAATCGGCGTCATGTCCATTAACTGCATACGCGCTTCAAAGTTAGGAAAGTTAGACATTGGCTGATGCTGTGACACTTCCAGGGTAGTCGCTAGCAGCGACCGTTTCAGTGGGTTGGGCCGGATCTCGGGTTGCCCGGGCGGGACGGACGAGATCTGGTTCGACTGCGGCCTGAGATTCTGCGCCCCGGTGGACAAGGACTGGTTGGCACGCGGCGTTTGTCGCCGTGTCAGACCTTGTTGGACGTTCTTGATGAGTCGATCGGCCTGGCAACTGACTTCACGGACGACCTGTGCCGCATTTTTGGCTGCCAAAAAGTGATCGCTGACGAGATCCAGCGTGCGGATCGCCGTCTGCAGTGACTTTCGGGCAGATGGGGTGGGGGGACAGACGGAGTTAGCGAGCACAAATCCTAGGGTGCACAGAATGGCATCCCACTGGTACTGGAAGATGGGCGACCAGCCGCGCAGGAGATCTGTCTCGGACAGCACTTGATTTAGGATACTAGTGATCGCCATGGCGTGATTCAGACAGGAGATGTTGTAACCGTCGGTCCGCGGAGTCATGGAGGAGCTCACGGGAGGGAATCGGATAAAGTGACGCAGTGTCGAGATCACAAGATGGTGATAGTGGAGCTCCAGCAGGAGGCGTTGGCGCTGCAGCCAGAGCGGGCTATACGGGCACAGATTCAGCATGTCCCGATTGGTAGAGAAGGACTCACCCGCCCCCGTGCGAGCATTACATAGAGACTGTGGCACGTTTTGAACCCAGTTATGAATGGCTGTCATCTCCTGTCCGAGAAACTCGGCCAAGGTCTCGAGGAGGCGTGGATCCTCATATAGATCCTTGACCTTATCCCCATTAAGCAGCTGGGAACATTTCCTATGTAGTGCTGTCTGCACACCCTGAACGAGATATATGAGCTTTGTGCACTGGACATGGAAGCTGAGCCAACTAATGTCATCATGGTTCGTGTGGAGGACTGTGCCAGATATCCGGGCGTGCTCGCGACCGTCTCCCGGTAGCCCGCAGCTGACATGGGACAGCTGAATGAGTGGTGGTCGACCCAGGGTCATTGAGAGCTGGGTGTCGATCCGATAGAGCGTCCACCAAATCCGGCGCTGTAGCTCCTGCTGCTCAGGGGAGGTCCCGTCCAGTGGGCGGATATGCAGCCGCAGCGCGTGGGCGATTCGCAGCGTAGCACCCAGGTTAATATGCGCCGTATTCAGCAGGGAGGCGTTGTACAAGTAGACAATCGAATAGATTTGACTCTGCACGACCATGATGGTTGGATTTTCGAGCTCACTCTGCAGAAGCCTCTGGGCCCTCTGGTAGTAAGTTCGACTGGCTAGATTCGCATTTTTGGCCTGCCATCCAGGACCCGGATCTCCCTGCTGGTTTTCTTCGCTGACGAAGAACGTGCTGCTGTACTGCATACAGACTGCCAACAGCACATCAACCAAGGCGGACGACTTCCGGGTAGACATTCCATTTGTGGAATTGGACCATAACGTGTCATAATACTGCTGAAAATCACGTTCGTCGAGGATAGGATATACACAATGGAAGTACTGCCAGAGCAGATTGAGAAAGTGTTGCTCTTGTGACCAGGTCAGATCCTCGGCCTCTTCACTTTCGTCCGGGGGCTGATCCGCCTGGTTGGCCGGGCTTGCATCCCATCGAGACGGTTTATGGGAGGGGGCAATATAATGAAAGCGTGCCATGCATGCCCCCAACTTCGCATCTTCTATTGGCAGGTTGAGTGCTTGGGAGAGATAGCGACTGATTCTGGAGACAAAATATGAGGACGACAAGGGCCCGTAGTGAATCTGCCCCGTCTGCTGGAGGCCTTGCCATCCTTCCGTAGTATTTGTGAGATCCGCAAAGTCGAATGAGGTGTGCGCAGCATCCGACAGTGGAGGCGTCGCGAAACCGGTCTGTACTTGGATTTCCGCTCCATCTTTGAGTTTCGCGATCTCATCCTGAAGGTCCTTCACTTTATTTCGTAACCCTTGGATCTCTCTGTCGATATAGATCAGCAGGCCATTTACGCTTATCCCGAGGTGATCCCGAGGGGGCTGGAGATCGGTTTCCTACCGGTTTGCAGCCGGGAGCGAGGTGGCCTCCTGTGGCTTTGTCTTGCTGCAAGAACCTCCTCGATTCAGGCAGTTCTGACATGGCTGCTTGCCATCGCATCTCACGCGATAAAGCCGACACCAGTCACAGGCCCGAGCGACCTGGTTGGGCTTAGGTCGTGGAGCTGTGATAGGAGTGGCTGATCTCTCACGGGAGGTGTCGATCGTGGTATCGAAGTTGGCGGAGAAAGTGGAATACATGACGGAGCGGTGGAGAGGACAAAACAATTCAGATATTCATTCCGACTAGTTTTATTCAACTCCAAATGGCGATCGGAACCTTCAAAGGAATTTCCCTCTGAACTACTCGAGACTAGATGGGAGGGGCGGAGGGGGGGCAGAAGTCGGATCGCGCAGAGGAAAATCAGTTGCGCAGGAGTGGTGTTGGCGGTAGATTCCAGACGTTGCAGATCTTGGCCAAGGACAAAGGTACATGCAAAAAACAGGGATCACTGGCTTCCCTGCACGCCATGAGACTTGCATGAAAAAAAACGAACAAGAAGGGAATAACAAACGAGAAAAGATCCGGATGCTACCTAGGTACACACCCACGTTCTCTCTAGTGTGTCATCTCGCCAGCTATTGTCAGCTATTATGGTGGACATTGCCAAGGTTGGCCTAATTCGCCACTTCTCTTTGTTGGAATAATAAGCGAGCGTCCACGCGTGATGGTGCTATTGGTCCA